GGAGAGGTTAGAAATTGCTTCCACCTTGGATTTGTCTACTTCAATCTCCTTTACCAATACAATGTACCAAAACACATTCCCTTGGGTCACCATGAAGTGGCACTTCTTTCAATTTAGCACCAAATTCTTCTCTTCACATCTTTCTAGCACCCTCTCCAAGTTTTCCAAACAACCCTCAAATGAGTCCCCAAACACGAAAAAATCATCCATGAATACCTCCATAATTTTCTCCACCATATCGCTAAAGATTTCCATCATATATCTCTGAAAAGTTCTTAGGGTATTACACAACCTGAATGCCATTCAGTTATAGGCGAAAGTTCCAAAGGGGCACGTGAATGTTGTCTTCTCTTGGTCCTCCAAAGCAATCTCTATTTGGTTGTAGTTGGAGTAGTCATTCAACAAGCAAAAAAACAGATGTCCGGCTACTCTCTCCAACACTTGGTCAAGGAATGGCAATGGACTCACAAATCGACCAAGGATCATCAACCTTGGGCACACTAATCACCTCATTAACTTTTTGAAACTCTAAACTCTACACCTTTCTTGAAAGTTTGACAATCGTAGCTAGGAGATCATCTTGATCTCCCAACAAATATTTTTCTCCACCGGATGATTGAGGGGATACTGATGATATTGATTGCTCAACAGGGTCTGAGATGTCTCAAGACTGGGCACTCTTTGCCAAATAATCAAAATAATCAAGACACTCCTCAGGATTTTTATGTAGAAACTCTCCATTGTACATCATGTCAATGAACTGACAATGTCTAGGGGTAATTTCTTTGTAGAAAAAAGTTACCATCTGCCATGGTTCAAAGCCATGACGTGGAATAGAGCATAAATGCCATTGTTGTTATTCTAGGTAGCCATACTTGGTAAATCATGTCTATCTAAATTCCCCAGCAATGGCGTCAAAAATGTTTGCCCTCCAAAGGAGTTGTATTTTCACGAAAAACCCCAAGTGTAAGAGAATGTTATCGTGTAGTAACTCGAACAAAAAGTCCAAGGTCCTCTCCTCAGGGAAAGAATTGTAAATCCAAGGTGATGAAAAATAAAAGCAAAAATCTCTATGAAGTTGAGAATTTTGAGAGTTGACTACTAATGAAATTGAAATTCAATAAATGAAAAATTGGATAATCTTTAGAATTCATCCCATCTATGAATAAGAGTTTCTACCCAAAATCTATAACTCATCTCTTATCATATTCAAACTACTACAGATGAATGATTTTTCAATTAAAAACTTTGAAAGAACTAATGTAACAATTGAAAGATGGTTTATGATGGAAGAATCAATACCCTAAAGTTCATAGAAAACACCACAATTATCTATACAAAAACTAATTGTATACAGATAATCAGAAAGTATGCAAACCAATTAGGCTTTCGAAAACATAACATATTCATACGTCCCCCCCTAGCTAGGTGTAATTTATTTTTAAAATCAATAAATTTTTTTTGTACCGTTGAGGTTCACCAAAAAAGAAACATAAACGTTAAAACCCTATTTTAGACCATACGTCCTACTTCATAGGTTGTGCCTCCTTCCTTAGATTATCCAAAGGAAGACTACTCACTCATGATAATGGAAATAACACAAAGGATTAAAGAAAACATAATTGAATTTAGAAAATTAAAGATTGAATTAAAACTAATTGCTTGTCTTGAAAAACTGAATGTAAATAACATGGTTTCGAAAGTAAAGACAACTGAATGTAAATATTGCTTGAACAAATAAAAGAATTGAACTTAAAAGAAGAATAATGCAAAACTCTGCAAAATAACCCTAAAACTCTCTAACAAAAACAAAATGAAAAACTAGAAGAAAAACTTCTAAACGTCTTCTACAACGTGATGCCCATAATCCCCAAAGGGTCTCTATTTATTCTGGTTGTAAGGAGAATCTTCAAATCTTTGGTAAATATCCTTCCCAAAATTATCTCCTTATTTGATTGGTCGAGAATCCCCAAAAGATATGGTGAGATCTGATCTTTAATTGAACTTCCCGTGAAAATTTACCTCAACCTACTGGCAACAACTCCCTCTATAGCACAACCTATTGGTAAAACATCCTTTAACTACTAGCATAATTTTGTCTGATAAAATCTCTGAAATTTCTGTGGTTTTTCCTATTGGTAGAACATCTGGTAGGACTATTCTGACAAAAGTACTATAAGTTTTTTTACTGGTAGAACACGTTTAAATACCGGTAGAACTTCTCTGATGATAAAGTGCAAAGTAATGTGATTTTTGCTACTGGTAGAACCTTCCTTTTTCTGCCTTCCTACCAGTACAACATCTATCGGTTACACCCAATTTACCTTCAATCACAAAAATCAAAGCTTAACAAGCAAACTATACTAAGTAAAGATAATTAGTACATTAGCAAACCTAAAGTGAATATGTTAAGATATAAAATAATGCAATGTTGATGTCTCAACATGACTCAACCTATGTTTTCAAAATAGAAAACTGATTTAGAAAAACTTTTCTTTGAAAATCCCTAGGAGTCATAATCGTATCGCTTCCAATTCTATTTTTTATCCTAATCATCCTAAGTTAAAAATAACTGTGGAGTTATCTTAGGTGTCTAGGTAATTATCTTTGTCTTAAACATGAAGATGCGTACTAAGGGTGAATGATGTAGCTTTAATGCTTGATCTCCTCCCTATATATTTCAGATCTTGAGTTCATAACATCATAACCATGGAAGTAGTTGAGATTTTACACTGGTCTCCACGAAATTAGCCAATTACAAACATGATCTAACAGAGTCCTTATTTTCTTTGTTGGTGACATACTTTTGGGTATTGATCTTCATTTTCAGTACTTTAGATCTTTATGTTATATGACTTGTTTCTATCTCTTGTCTCTTTTCCACATTGCTTGATGTTTTATTGTTTATTTCTTTTTCCTCATCATTATGTTTGGTACTTCTTGACAAAAGGGAGAGAAAATTGGAAATTTGAGAATTTGGAAAAGCTTAAAGGGAGTCTGTTAAACGAGGGAGTAAAGAAAGGGGCAACATATTACAAATTGTTAGGGGGAGAAAATTTTAAAACATGGCATTTTTCATTTGTTAGTTTATTAAGTTTAGCAATAACGAAGGGAGAAAACTAGATGATTGAATTTGATAATTAAATCTAGTGGTTCTTGAGCTTAATTATGCTTGTCACAATTATATATGTTTGCATATTGCTTGGTTTTTGCATATTACTTACATACATGTAGCTTGTTATTCTTGGTGCTTTATTTATCACTCACTAACATTTACTTGTGCTTATTTTTGATATACTATGTGTCTTTCACAAGGTATTTGGTTTAGTGGTGATTTTGTAGGACTAGCTTCACTCAAAAGCATAAATCATAAAGACTGGTATTTTGTACAGTTAGATTGAGTGACATTATACTTGAGTCTTGAAGTTAGGTTTACAATTTATTTTTGTCTAAGGATTATTGAGTCGTTATATGTTATTTCTTACTCTTGTATTTTGTCATGGAATTATCAAAGGGATATATTGTTAAGAAATTTATTGTAATTGGCTAATCCAGTGAGGTCAGAAGTAATTATATCTCAACTAAATAAGTGGTCATGATGATTAGGAAGATGAAAATTGAAGCAAGATGTGGTGTTGAAGGTCAGGCTATAAAGCCACATTTGAAGACGTCTTGGAATCCATCAAGCTTAAGTGAGGTAAATGACCTACCTAGTTCCTTAATTTTGTTTTGTTAGGTGATTAGAAATTGGATTTAAGAATTAATCTGTGGCATGAGTCCCATAAATTGATTTAAAAAGGTTTTTAACACTCAAAATATATTTTAAAACACTATAAGAGTCATGTCTAGCTAGTTTTCACTTAGTTTTGGGCTTGAAAATCATTAGGGACCATTGAATGGTCATTGACCTTGCGCTCAAGCGACCATTATTCACATAGGGAGGAAATTGGGAGAAAAACAATGTATACCACTAGCCAGATGGTTTGAGTGATCCCTAGACAACTTAAACATTATCAAGCTCGCTCAAGTAGTATGCACTATTCAGGGTTGGACAGATATCATTTGTGTTCCACTAGCCACCGTTTGAAGACAACTGATTGACAACTCAAGCAGTTTGTCATCAATTTGAGTTTTCTTGAGCCCTAATTAAATTCTATTTTCAGAACCTGTATCTATAGGATGGTATTTTCTCCCTAGGGTAAGCTAATATAATCCTAAAAGATCATCAAAATAGGCAAGACAAACCCTAGTCTCCCCTAACTCAAAAAGTCCATCTTAACTTAGATTAATCTGAACTATTGATCTTGACCATTCAAGAGGCAGGTATATCTAGTATAAAACCCATAAAACTAAATAGTTGAAGATATCATAGGAGGATTCCAAGGATCCAAGGAGGCTTTCAAGCAAGGAAAAGAGGAGGAGTCCAAGTTCAATCATGGATTTCTATTTGTTAAATTAAACTAAGTGTTCAAGAGCTCGTGGTGGACTCCGGAGTGAAGATTCAAGTTGAGAAAACATCTAACCATAGTATTGGTTGAGGTATAAGACTTTAAGTTTTATAATCATACTTTGAAACTAGAGGATTAGGTTAGGTGGACTTTGGTGCCATGGTTTTTCTTGGATGGATTTCCATGCAAAATTATTGGTCCTGTGATCGCTTTGACTTTCACACATCTTTACTTATTTGCAATTGTATGTTCCTTACATGGTTGATTTAATAATTGTATGAGAATCTCCTTGTGTATGTTGGCTAGTTGATTGTGTATAATAGTGCAAGTCAAATCGCCCTAATATTTTTTTTAATTAAGCCCATTTAGGGCAAATATTTATTGATCACAAAAATAGAGGGGAGGACATAAACCTTGCCCCATTACATAACCGAATAATTCAACTAAAAAAGGAGACCAACCAAAGAAGAAGTCTAGCTGAAGGAGGAACAGTAATTCCCAAAAAATCCTTGCTGCACCGTCACGTGAATAGTGACGTGAACAATGGGAATTTTAGGCTGTTGAAATTGAAACTTCATAAAATCCAGCTGCAGCTGCCAAAGGAAATTCCAACTGCACAGTAAGGTGAACAGTGGCATCTGGGTAGTAGCAGTCCATGGTCGAAGTCCAACTGGGTAGTTCTTGAATGGGTTTAAATAGCTTGCTGCCATGTAATCCACTGAATTCCTGCTTTAGAAGAAATCTAATAATGTCTAAATCCATAGGTTTTCTTTGGCTTTGTCAACTTGAAAGTTCTTGATCTAGATCTTGTCATAATTACAGGTTGGACTTTATCAAGTGCCACAGCCAAAGCAGACAACTCCTCCTCTTTTCTTTTCTTCTTTAGATTTACCTTATTGAATATTAATAGTAGCCTTTTAGACGATGCCATAAAAGAATTGAAATCATCTTCTCAAACTACTGCTGCCTCCTACCCATCAGAGTAAAAACCCCTTGATTGCTCATGAAGAGAAGACCTCTTAACGTAGTCATCCTTTGAATAAATCCATCTTAGCTTCCAGGCCTTTTGAATTTCCTCCCTTGACATACTTGGAATTATCCCCCCTTGACTATGCATATTCTTACGGACTGTTGCCACCATTTTTTGAGTAATGGGCTTCGGCACAGGACTATACCTCAACCCACTGGATTTCTCCCCAACATCCGATGAGGACTCGTCTATCTCATCATCTGAAACATCTTCAAAAGAAGTAGAAAATCCATTATCATCCTTCTCATCATTTAAATTAACAATGAGTTTTATTCTCTTGGAAAAATTATACTTGTACCTCAGTAATATGGTTTGAATTTGAAAATTTTGGAGTTTCATTAGGACACAGTTCTTCATCATCTCGTGCCTCATCGGTATTCACCTTTGCTTGAGTGTCATAACATGATTTATCCACATCAATTATCACGTTAGAATTTGAATTAGGGTTCCAAGTTCTTGCATTATTTCCAACATTAGGACTCTGAAATTCCTGAATATCATCAACCAAACACTCCTACTGAGTAGTATCTCCTTTCCCCGAGAAATCCCCTATTTCCAAAACTTTGGTGAATCTTTCTTTTTGTGGAATTTTGGAAAGTGTAGATTTTTCATATGAGACTGCAACATTAGCCATAAGACCCTCCTCTAGATCCTCCAAATTAACGGGATTCTTTTCTCCATTTAACTGTTTTCCTACGCCCTTCCTTTGATTTACTTGACTAGCAAAATTATGTTGCTTAGATGGCTCTGGATTCTTTCTGTATTCCTTCTGATTAGTCTTGGATTTTTTCCCCTTAGCTGTCTCGTGCATATCTCGTGTATTCTTCCCAGGATTTTGCTCTGTCCTTTCCTTATTCCTTTCACTAGAGATCTTTTTAATTTTGGACGTCAAAGATCCTACATTCTTTCCTTCTAGTCCACCTTCCAAATTTGGATTCTACTTCCTTTGATAGTCTGCCTCCCCATGGCCTTGCTTTCTGCATGTTTTGCAAAATTTCTTGTTCCTTTCATACACGATTCTTTGCCATCTAGCACCCTCTTGCCCCATATTAATCCATATTCTTGAAGGATTTTGTGCTAGTAAATTAACTTCGATGTAGACCCTTGCTACGCCAAGCCTAGACAATTAAAGAGTGGCTTGGTCATATGCGAGTACCCTACCTATAGGCTTTACCAAAAAATCCAAGAAAGACTTCTTGAAAAGATTCAAAGGAAGACCTGACAATGACACCCACATTGGAACAATGGAGGGCTCAATTCCTGGGACAAAAGCAGGGAACCACTTGAAAAATATAAATAGATAACCAGATTTTAACATAATCCTCATGCAGCTGGAATCTTATTAGTATGTGTCGTGGATCTATAGAACCAACTTCAAACTCTCCTTTAAGGCTCCATTTTGATTTGATCACTTCCTTGATAACTCCTAATGAAGGTCTTCCATAAGCGCATTTACCAATAAGAGCATATTGCTAGAAAAGACATGAAGCTTGGACTTCCTTGTTGGTGAAATAAAACGTAGGCTCTTATTCATAAAAAACAATAGGCTTCCCTATCTTGGAAGTAGATTCTGGCCCAGTTGTAGGATTCAATAAAGGTTTAAACAATGATGCATATGTTGGTAAGGTATTATTTGGGTTGTTTGGATTCAAATCTAGTGGTTTTGTGGAATTTGGGAATAGTTTGGTGATGAACTCATATGAAAAAGAATTCTAGAGAGAAGACAGAGCTTCTCTCTATGCTTTTTGTCACCTGCTCTGTTATAACTATTAATATAACTTTTAAAGGTCAAGTTTCAAATCACCCCAACATGTTGTTAGAGACCTGAAGTGTTTCTTATGTTGACCTAGAGAGGGAGGTGAATAAGTCTTAAACCCTCAATGCATAAATTTTACCCAATTAAAAGCCTAATTCACGCAATTGTGTATTAATTAATGAATTAACATGCAAAACCATCAATTTTACTCACAAACCCTTGGATGAATGCATCACACCCAAATCAATCACAATGCACAATCCACCAACCTTAACCCTCCAAAGCCATTCTACCCATTCAACCAATTATAAGATGATAAAATTAATAAATCAAGCATATTATGAAACATAGGGTGAGTGCAAAATTGCAAATATGTCTAGAATAAAGAAGGAACAAGCACAACACAAGGCACACGTCTTTTACGTGAAAACCATTTCAGGAAAAACTATAGGACAATAGTCCACCTAGCTATTTCACTATACTCAATGTTAAATTATAAGGTGAAATTCTTGTACTCAAGCAATGCTATGGTCAGATGCTTTCTCCCTTCAATCATCACTTCAGAGTCCGCTACAAGCTTTTGAGTACTAGCTTCACTAGGCGACTAACCGAGCTCCATGATCCACCCTTGGATTCCTAAAGTCTTATCACCACTATGGGTTTGGTGGGTTTTTGCTACATCTCTCTATTCTTCAAGTTTGAAGAAGTAAAATAAGATTGATATTTGTAGACCTTTTGCCTTCGGATGTTTTGGGAGATTAGGGTTTCTTTTTAGCTCTCTAGATGATGTATGAGACTATTTCATGACTATAGAGGCTTACCCTAGTGAGAAAAGATCAACTCTTATTTATAGGCCTCATAAATAGAGTTTAATTTGGAGCACAAGGAAACTTAGATTCCTGATAGACCATTAGAGCCATTGGCTAGCAATCATCCAACGTGGTCACTTGAATGTCAAGGTGAACAAATTCAAACCTTTGGTACATAGAATGCTCGAGCAATTTGTAGGTAGCTCAATCCATTTTGTAGGCCACTTGAGCGGTCTAGCCATCAGTGGCCACTGTCCAGGTTCCAGTTTTCTCTAACTTTCTCCCTAAGTGTTTAAAGACCTGTCGACTCGTAGGCCAGTGAGCTTCCAATGGTTATATTGATTTTCAATCCTAAAATGCACCAAAACCTTACCCTATTGAGCACTAAGAGACATACTCAATAAAGGTTTGTTCCATTACTTAATTAGGTTTCCAGAACAACATTTGAGTTTCAAAAAAAAACAAATCAATAAAAATATCAAGGTTCATTTATGGAATATATCCTAAATCCAATATTAATTAACTTAGTTTAACCGAAGTAAAAACACCAACGTAACTAGGTCTCTAGGCCATTACCTTTACCTAAGCTTTGAAGGATTAACCAAGAAGTCTTCAAATGTAACTTTGTCCCTTGGACTTGATCTTTATTCTTTGGTCTTCAACTTCATAACATCACGGTCATAGATTTAGTTGAGATATTTACATATGACTTCACAGATTTAGACAACTACAAAGTCAATTTCCTAACATGGTATTTGAAGTGGATTAGAGGTTTAGTTGGAATTGGGGGTTTTGAGCATTAATTGAACATGTTAGTAACTGGGGTTGAATTTGGTTTTTAAATGGGCAACTAATTCCTCATTAAGTGCTAAGATCTATTCACTCCCCTCTAGGTCATTCGCACGCATGAGTTCAATGATTGGGGCTGACCCATTCACACTCTTAACGTACCTTAATCGTAAGAATCACGACAGACTTAATCCAATCTCTCAATCAATTGGTGAAATGTATTGCCATTGGCATATTCAATTTGTTAATTACAAGCAACCATCCTCGTCCCCTTGAAATATTAGGAAGTTCCATACAGACCACTAGCTTTACGATCAAAATTAAAGACTAGGAATATATTTTAGCATATTCTTGAATGACCACCTCGTGCTAGTTCTGCATAATAAGACACGAAGTGATGGGACCGAAACTTCAAGGGGGGCAAATAGGACAATACTAGTAGAAAATGAGTGATGTTATTTATACTTAAAAATGTGATATAATTTGTTGACATAAAGATGTAAATTTATTGAAACTATTGAATTAACACCAAGTCTCAATGTTTGATGAAATCTACAGTCAATTCAAATGTCATAATGAATTAGGTCAATAGATTAAATTAGTAAATTAAGTTCCAATAACATTACTAATATAAAATATCAAAACATCAAAAATACCAAAAAAAAAAATAAAATTTACATAAAATCAGTCGTGGAAATGTTAATGAGACTTGAGGAACCTGATTCCGAGCCTTAGCCTAATCCCACCCCCAAAGACGGGGGAAGTAAATGTCACATAATGTTGCAGGAATTTACATTTTCCACGCTGAAAAGATCGGCAACTTGATCGTCGATGATTGTCGAGTAAGGTAGGTTAGGTAAGTAACCATGCATGCTCTCATTATAGCCATGCATGTAGTAGTTATAGGTGGATGAGAAGGTAGATTCATCCAAGTACTGGGCGGCATAAGGATAATAGTCGTTGTCGTACGGGTATGGCCAAAACTCTGCCTTCCTTCCTGTTCTTCTAACCACCTTCAAAACACGCCTTTGATCCACGTATCCTGTCACTGTTACCTTCTGCTTATCCATGTCTATAACCAGGCTATCGACTCCTACAACCATTTACATGAAGCTAAACATGTATGTAAATTGTGTGTGTGTGTGAGAGAGAGAGAGAGAGAGAGAGAGAGAGAATAAGAGAACTATTTCTTTCTTAGCCCAATGTTAAGACTTCCATCCAGTCCCACAATTTCATCACCGGTTTAAGACCCTAGACAACAAATATTTAACTCGGTTTGATAACTTTTTCTATTTACTTTTTCCTTTTTGTTCCCTTTCTCAATTACTTGATAAGTAGCATTTGTTTTAGCTTTTTTTTCAGTCTAGAATTACTCACCTTTTCAAGCTTAATCGCATAAATGTACATATGCAGATAGATAATTTATATGCATGATTCATGTAGATCACTTATTACACAAAAAAAATTCTTTTTTGGGTAAAAAAATTTCTGAACAAAGGTTCACCAAACAATAACTTAATTAGTATTTTGTATAGTACAACATAATGGTGCTACAGATGATTCAGATGCAATCTTTTCACCTTAAGCAAAGAGACAAGCATTTTAGCAATAAGCCGTTGTTCCTAAACTACTTTTTTTAGAGTTATGTATTGTTTGACAATATAGTTGCGTGCACATATACTATTATATACACAATTAAACTTGGAAGCATAAAGCAAATCCCGACAAAGCAGTGTCATTCATCATTGGTTTAAACCACTATCCCCTAGTTTGGTGTTATTACTTATGGTAAAACCAGATGGTGCTACACAGGCTTCGGGTAAAAGTCGCTCCTGTAAGCACAGGACACAAGAAACATTTAAGCAAGTAGTCGTTGTTCCTAAAGTATTTTATTTTTTAAAAGTTACGCAAGTTCTGAAAATTCTTTTTTAAAGTTAACTTTTTTATGCAAACATGCAAAAAATTATTTACTAGACAACCAAAAGTATGTTTTATTACCATAATTTTTCTGACCAAAAAAATATATTACTATAATTCTATATATGTACACTTGAGGTTGGAAGAATTAAGCAAATCCTGCAGAGGAATAAAGCGGAATTTAAAAGTTCTTAAAAGCATATGCAAGTATGATTTTGACATCATAAACCTTGGGATGGTACTCATCCGAACAAAGCAGTAGTACGTCTACCAGTTCCTAAAATTTAAAGAGAAACCGCAGAGATGATGGTGAAAAGAGTGGGATCACTTTATAAGTTCCCCTTTCCTGGAACCAAAACTGTATATCAGTGTCTTTTGTTCCCGTTTGGAGGCTTAAAGGTGCTGCTCAACCGTTTGGAATAATGAACAGTTGGTAAACTGCTGTAAGATAGGAGGGGACTTGTTCTCTTGGGTAAGCAGTATGTGCACGAAATAGTTAAATTTCCTACCTTTGGATTGTGCGCACAAAATTATTTCTCGTAGATGAAGACATAACCCAAGAAATGAATATGTATGTATAAAAGGGATTTGACTCCTACTTTGGTCCTAAAGTTTTTTTCTTCTTTTTTTGTCTTTTTTTGGTATAATAATTGTCCCCTCCAACTTTTGACGTCATAGCAATTCAATTAAATCAATATTTCTGTAAATAAGGGAAAACTTGACAAAGAATATCATCATCAGGAAAAAAAGTATATATGTACATCAAGGCACACATGGCATCATTGAAAAGTCACTCTTCAACTTTTAGCTACTATTATTGATTGGACTAAATCGACAACAGACAAGGGTACATTCGATTGAAGGATAATGGTGGTATAATGAGCTGAAATTAAAAAAAATAGTATGTGAAGTTTAATAATATCTTATTTTTTTGTTTTTTTTTGTGTGGTACTATTTGTCAGGTCACAATATCAATCTGAAAATTACATATCACCAAAACCCATATATATGGGCTTATATAATACTACCAAAGAGGTGGTATTATTTTTTGAGTTTTGGCCACCAATGATATTAAGAAGATTAATAACTGAATTGCCCTTTAATCTTTTAATGTTAGTATGTGATGTGGCCACCAACGATTTTTTGTTTTTTAATTTTATTAATATTTTAAAAAAAAAATTTTGATTTTGAATTTTTTTTATATTATATTAAAACGTACGATGTCACCAGTTTTTTTTTTTTTTTTTTTTAATTTTATTGATCCTCAATTTTTTTTCTTTTATTATGTTTAAATGTACGGTGTCACCGGTTTTTTTTTTAATTTTTTTAAAAATAATTTATGATTTTGAATTTTTTCCATATATTATGTTAATCGTACAATGTCATCGGTTTTTTTTTTTTAAAATTATTTTGAATTTTTTTCTTATGTTAATTTTAAGCATACGATGTCACTGATTTTTGTTTACAAATTTTTTTTGTACAAATATCTGGACTTGACATCTATGAATACCTTTTAATTTTTTTGTATTGTGTTACTGATTCATAGCGTCAAATTCTTTATTTTTCTTGTGGATTTTTTTTATTATTTGAAATTTTTGAGGTATGGATTGCCATACTATATATTATACCAAATATTATACAAAAGCGTTACACAAACGGAGTAATAGAATGAATGATGTTAAATGTAAAATTGTATATTTGTTATACAAGATGTAATAGAATAAATAATTGTTCATGAGATCCACCATTCAACCTATTGAACCAACAAATATGAGAGGGGATTGCAATACTTTCTATTATCATTACTAATTTTCATAGATATTAGAAATGTGTGGAATACAATTCTCAATCTTATGCATAGCAATCCTCAAAACAAACATGCCCCAAGAGATGAAGGACGAATTAAAGCAAAAACATGAAGGACCAAAGGCATGGTGGGAAGAATAAAAGTTATATGCCAACTTATGGCGTTGGTTTCCAGATTGCTGATTGGCCCATTATCAACAGCCTTTTAACTAGCTTTTGTTTCAATTTATTTATTTTTTATGCATCAGTGAAGAAGAAAATGAATAGAAGCACCAGGTGGAGTTCAACTGACGAAACCCTTGCCATCTAATTTAGAGATTGCTCTTCTTATCCTTTTTTCACATCCTTCGCAATCCATATGAACCAACAGCTCCACAATCTATCCAACAAATAGGAAATTATGTCAAATTATGCTGTATCATTTATGCAAGTGTAAAAAAAACAACAAAAGCCAAGTTTAAATAGGGTCATATGTATGCAGTACTTGCGGATAGATTGATTCAATGGCTCATACCGATGATGCTTAAATTACAATAAAATAACTTTACTGTATAAGTTCATCATCTTAACAAATGCATAGGCTGTAGAAATATTTAAACGAATTTCTCAGATAGTACTTACAGACATTGCATTAGACATTCGTGTCTGCCTGAAACAACTGAACATTGTGAAGCTATGCTGCTCCAAAACACCTGCATGGTAACACTAGAGGATGAGTGAAGGATATATGGACAAGAAGAAAAAGGAGATGATGGAGGGAAAGAATCATAAAAGTTGATGAAGGTGCGACTTTTGATCCCTTCGCCTCCTTTATTACGAAGCAACTTGATTTTTTGGGTACAAGAAAGATGCCATTTTTTATATACGTTGATCTATCTACTATGCTCCTAACGATAGGTGGGATGAGAATTTCTAAGCAAATGGTGAGATTCAAGAGTCCTAACTAGTCCGGTTACCGTACCGTGGTTACTTAAGGTTCTATTTTAAAGATTCAAAAAACTTAAAACTTTTGAAATTTTCTTAAGTTTGAGAAAAATGAATTTGTCCGGATGCTTAAAAACTTATCCACCCCAAGCATAACATGGATAGAGTCTCTTAAGTGCATAGCAATTCCCGTCAAACTATTCACAAAATTTTTTGACATAATTTATTATAATCGTTAAATTAGTTGTAAATCCCAACAAATGTTAAGATGTGTTGTCAATTCAATAGTTATTGATGAGTCGAAAATTAACTGGGCTAGGCCCAATTAATCAAGAAAGGCCCCACGTCACCTAGGAGCCCAAGTCAACAAATCAAAGAGGAGCTCAAGTCAAGGAAGAGTCCAAGAGAGACACCCTCGAGGGGCTACCCCAAATGGGCGCCGCCCAAGGGGTGCCACCCCAAGGGGATCCTTCCCTCCTTTGTCCCTTGCTCCTTCTCCTGCGCAACTTTGTGGAATCCTTTGCCCTATTGACTCTGTCACTCCAATTCAAGACCAGCACCCACCAACTCAAGTCCAAGCCCAGGATCCTCTTCCGACTTAATAAAAGTACAAGGGAGAGAAAATCGAGATACGCACGAAGATCTAATCTTATTTTGATTGAACTTACCAAAATAGTAGAAGCCCTCTTCCTCACGTCACTGCCTCACTGCCATACTAAACCTATATAATGTAAGCTCTCTCCACAAGGAGAGACACATTGACATGACCTTGAGACCCCTACGCCCATCATTACTCTCTCTTTCTCTCTCTCCAAAAAGCATTGTAATACTCCTGGAGTTACTCTCCTAGTGACATAATTCATCAATAAAGATCACTGGCGACCACTGCCGTTCCCGAGAGTGGAGTAGGTCACTCAGACCAAACCACTATAAATCTTGGTATTGATTCCATTATTTACTATTTTGCCATTGATTGCCTATTTACTGCTCATTAATTATGTCTATCGATATACTCGACTGCTGATTTTGCGCAATACCAATTTGTGTATCATCAGTTTAGCGCTATCTGTGGAAAACGACTAGTTTTCTTACTCTCTTTCAAATCCATGACAATCACTACCCGATCAATGAGTCAACAATTGGGAGACAACAACCCGGTCCATCGGGAGGAGGCTTCGCCTCCCCTTGTGCTCTCGGAACCATCTGCTATTGCGACTGGACAATAGTAATAACTTTTACAAAATATGCAGCTGTTGGTAAAATAGAACCAGCAGATCATTCAGTTAATGCTCACGTAGGGGGGCATCGGCTCTTAGCCTGTGGGAGGAGCCTCACTTCCTCCAACAAGAGCTCGTTTCAATGGGAAGGCTTTTCAGATTGAAGAGCTGGATGACAATAGCCCTGACCTCCTTTATCGCCGGCCTTTGCACATCCAGTTTCATGTTCTCAGTCCTCA